GGGCCAGTGGGATTAAACTGTGACATCCCAGTAATTACTGCCATTTCTTGGGTTTACACCCTTTGGTGACTAATGCATTTAACTCCCAGTGGGAGGGAACAGCACCATCCTGTCATGGCGGAACAGGGGAAGCCAGCTATGGGGGTAGGGCAACATGTCAGTCATGCACCCTGGCTGGCAGAAATCTGTCAGTAAACAATGTGGAGAATTCCTATTAAATATGCTGTCCTAAAGTCTCTCTCCTGGTCCCTAGAGGTGACCGTAAGGCTGAGTCTGCAGCACTCTGTGTGCAAGAGAAATAACACCGAACTATCCACTAGCTGTGTGTCTGCATTGCCAGTGTTTTGTTGCTTGGTTCCTTGGAGACAGAAAGCAGATGGATGCTGCTGTATTCTTTGGCATGCTCCAGCTGGGCTGTGCCGTCATGCTGCAGGATACTACTGAATTCTTTTCAGCAGAGTAATGACTTGCCTCAGGTATACTTCAGGGCTCCAGAGGAAAAAGTGGTTTTCCCCCACCTTATAGCCTTGTTCTCATTCAGACAAGAGAGTGGCAAGTTTCTTGGGAGACTGTTTTGCAGTCTTAATGCTTCTCTGTTCTTCCCACTTTCAGCCCCAGGATAAGCCTTGAAAAAAACCCCTTACCTGCTGCAGGGGCCTCAAGTAGAAAGGCCACTCACAAGAGTACACGATGCTCCTTCCAGTCTTGTTCAGGGCCAGAGACATGTGCCTGTAACCTAAAGGAAGAGGACAGACAGAGGTTACACAATCTTCCTGGTCAAACAGAGAAACTAATCCAATGTCACAGGTTCAACTCTTGTGAAGTCAAGGCTGAACACATTATTGCGGCTGAAACACCACAGGGAAGACAGGGGAGCTTATAGTCTGCAGTCAGTCTTCTACCTCCCAAGGACAGCTGAGCTTCCTCACAGCTTTGATACAGGTCACAGGCAGGCTTATTGCTCCGAGACTGCTGATCTCTTTGTACACAAAGCCATGGGAATAGGCTGCAATTTTGCTGTATGGCATTTTTTCCTCTAGACACCCGGGAAATACAAGTTGGTATCTATCAAGCTGCTGGATACAGCTTCACTGGGTAATGTTGCAGGATTATGTTCTTATGAGGCCTTTGCACCATATGGATGGGGCAGGAATGCAAAAGCACTCGTTTTTTCCTGTCCTTGTCCCCAGACAGTCCAGTTAAGTCCCTTTTAATCAGCAGAGAAGGAACAAAAAGGTTGCTCCCTCCCCTGGAACTGCTTCAATACAACTGGATTGTATCTGGGTTACACATATGATCCAACAAGAGCTTTCAGCTCAGCTGTCCCTTATGGTGTTCAGCTGTGCTCCTGGCTGCAGCAGCAGGCATATGCCCCACCAACTGGCTTCAACGGGATTGTCACTTGGGCAGGTTCTCCTTGTCAGGCAGAGCTAAGGCTGTGTGCAAGACTCCTGCTGCCAAACACCATGGTGCTGACTGTGCCAGCAGTGAGAGCCCAGTCAAGAGAAAACCACCTTCTGAGTTGCATCGTTCCTTCCCACAAATCTGCTCCTGTGGCACTGGGATTTGCTTGTGCTTGCAGACAGACTGTAGCCAAGCTCTCTCAGCACAGCGAGCTACTGAGCTTTCAGCTGCTGACTTGCCAGCCTGTGCACAAATAACTTCTGAATTGGGATTTACACTGGCGTACTTTAAAATGAAAACCCCAATAGGACTTTCATGCCAGAATTCCCTTCATTTTTTTCCTGTTAAAAGCCCTGATAACTTCCCTTTTTACAGCTGACACAAGCTGTTCTAGCCTCAAGCTGATCCACGTTGACATGGCCTCACCAAAGGGATTAAGGGTCAAGTGTGTGAAATGCTTTGAGCTCTCCAGTAAAGGCACTGCTGAAAGGCAAAGCCTCTGCTTCATTAAGAGCTGAGGCAGCAGTCTGCACAGAGAGCCCCCAGAGTACACAGTTGGTGTTTCCATGCTCGGCATGGTGAGGTCTCTGGTGTGAGAAAGCTGCTTTTTCAAGCTGTGCACACCAATGAAAGCTCCAGGAGGCTGAACAGGTGAAAGACACTTGGGCCAGCAACACTTACTACCTTGGCCTTAGGCAGAGTCCTGTACTTGCTTTTGTAACCAAATCCCTTAAATGAGTAGGCTTAGGGAAAAGCAACTCCCTGGAGCCCACCCTGGGCCTAGCATTGCTGCTCCCTGCAGAATATTCCACCCCGTGGCACAGTGCTGCCTTGAATCCACACCTACCTTCTGCCAGCAGCTCCAGCGTGCCAGAGTTGCAGCCATCAAACTTCAGCAGGTCCACGCCCCAGGAGGCAAATGTTTGGGCATCCAGGTCGTAGTGGTTGTAACTGCCAGGGAAGCCAGCACACGTCTTGTTCCCGACATCGCTGTAGATTCCCAGTTTCAGCCCCTTGGAGTGGACCTGTGCTTGCAGACAGAAAAGAGAACTGGGGACGGGGCAGCTGTGAGGCAGTAGGGAACGGAGCTGGCCGGCAAGGGATGCAAAACCCCACTCCAGCAGGCAGGGCCTTAGCTCAGCAGCTACGCAGCTACTACCCCCCAGCCTTCCTTCTCCTCCCCTGCTCCCAGCGTGGCTGCAGGTCAGGTCCCCAACTGCGATCACTGCCCTAAGCCACGGTGGGTGGCACTCACGTAGTCGGCCAGCCTGCGGATTCCGCTGGGGAACCGTTTTGGGTCAGCCTGGAGCCTGCCGCGTTCATCCCGCGTCGGGGCCATCCAGCAGTCGTCAATGCAGACAAACTCATAGCCTGCGTCCCTCCAGCCCTCGGCAACCATCACATCGGCCATCTCCACGAAAAGCCGCTCACTGGGCAGGGGCAGAAGGCACGACCAGGAAAGAAAGTGGAGAACGTGGCAGCCCGATTTCTAGCACCGGCACGGCAACCGTGCCGCCCTTCTGCCACGGGGCTGGCCCGGCCGTGAGCACGAAAACGGCAGGGGAGCGCAGGGAATGCCCTGGGCCCGGCACGGGGGCGAGCCTGGCTATCTGCGCTGGCATGGGGAAGGCACACCGGCTGCCACGGGACCGGGCCGCAGAGCACGGCGCCGGGCCGGCTGTCCCCGGCCCAGACACCCCCAGTGCCGGTAGCCGGCCTGCCCCGGGGCCGGTACCCCCCACCCCACTCCCGCCGCCGGCAATACCTGACGCAGCGGCGCGGGTCGGCGGCGCAGTCGGTGCCGCAGAGGAAGCGCTCCCAGTGCAGCCAGCCCATCGGCGGCGTCCGCGCCAGCCCGTTGTCCAGCGCCAGCCCGTTGTCCAGCGCCAGCGCCGCCGCCGCCGCCAGGACCCAGCGAAGGGCCCTCCGCGCCGCCGCCATGTCTGCCCGCGAGCCGCCACGACGCTGGGCTGTACCACCGGCTAATCGCCGCGCGGCGCCCTCCACCCCTCCGCCAATCGCGGGTAGCGGGGCGCACGGCGGCCCGCCCTCTCTCCGGGCGGTCACGTGGGAGCGGTGGTCATGTGAGCGAGGAGGGAGAGGGGGTGGTGGCGGCGAGGTCGGGCCGGGTTGCGGCTTCTGCGGGGTCGCTTGCTCCGTGCCCGCCGGGGGACGCGTGTGCCAGGCCGGCATTCCCCGGCTGCTGCGCCGAGGCCCCCCGGGAGGTGCTAGGGGAGCTGCGCCCGGGATGGGAGCCTACGCATGTTCCTCTTCCCTGCTGCTGAGCCCGGTCCTGCCGCAGCGCGGCACCGTGCCCGGGCTCGGGTGCGCCGGAGCTGCCCGGGGCGGGCGGGGGGGGGGACTTGGGGCTGCCGTGAGCATAGGGTCGGTGGGCTTGTGCGTGCTCCGTAGTGTCAACGCTGACTGTGTGAGCACAGGGTCCTGTGGAGGGGGATTTGTTCCCCATGGGCCTAGGGCTTGGTTTTGGCTCCACTCTTCAGCTCTGCCTCAAACACTCCCGTGAGCAGCTCCTGAATGAACCCTCTGATGGCACCTTCCTCCTCGGAGTGCCTTCTTCCCCCTGAACTCTTTCCTCTGTCACCACTCCTCTCTTAACCCACCTGGGTTCCTTCACGCCTCTGAGACACACCGCTGGGTTCATCTTCCTCACTTTGCCTTGCTTACCTTGAGCACTACCACGCCTTGACCATGACAGCTTGTCTGAAATCAATGGAGGAGGAGGAGTTTGGTGTTGCAGCGTTTCTTCAGACAGCATCTTGGGGCCTGCCTGTCCTGGCTGCATGGGGTGTTTGGAGGACAGGGCTCTCGGGTGCCTCAGCTGTGCTGAGGAGCTGGCAGGGTCTCTACCATGAGCTCAGGGTGCTTTATGGTATGGAGGTAAGGTATGCTTTATGGTTAGGAGGTAAGGAAGGGGAACGGGGTCTCTGCAGAGACTGGCCCTCTTGCAGGGATCCAAAGATCAGAGTGAAGCCTGGAGCTGGATCCAGCGCTGGCAAGAGGCCAATACAGACTGTAGGGTATGGGCACGCTGTTCACTGCCGCTCTGCCTGCTTGTGGGGTTCCCTGAGGGGCTGGATCCAGCATGTCTCTGCCTGGGGTGCCTGTCCCCATCCAGATCTTTGCACTCAGAGATTGTGGTCTCTCTTCAGACAAGTTCAGCCATGTGAATAAGTCATAGTCACTGGGCATTGCCCCATTTGCACTAGTAAAATCAGCTTGATTGGGGGGTTGAGATGAGAACCTCTGGCAATGCTGGTGTCAGCGGGTCCCAGAGGGCTGTAAGGGGCACCTGCCTCCCGGTCAACGTCTCTGAGATGAGTCCCAGATTTAATCCCTGTTTTTGCAGGAGTCACGCAGCTGTGAGCACTGCTGGGCCTCGCCCTGATGGAGGTATCAGCTTTGGCAGCATGTCTGGCCTGTCAGGGAGGCATAGAGGCTCTCACTGCCAAGGCAACAGTGGGAAATGGGAAAGGAGGAGCTGATTCTTCCCCCTGTCCATCTCCCCCAGGGCTGGACCAGCCCCTGCAGCACCACTGGAGCTCTCATCATGGGCCCCACCACAGCAGGAGGAGGCGACCAGGATGCCGGGCCTCAGCGGGACCGGTGTAGGGCTGGGGCCACCAAGGCATTGGGCTCTGGGTGCCACTGGTGTGTGGGGCCATTGAGACATCTCGCTAGGTGTCCTCCGATCCCTGCTCTGGCACATCCAGCGAACAAAAGCTCTTCAGAGCCCATGGTTTGATAATTGCTCTTTGTTTCAGCGCTGGGTCCTCCCCCTGCCCCTTGAGGGGCTGAAGCGCAGAGGCTTCTCAGAGTCGGACAAAACAAGGCACTTTGGGGGCTGGAAAACCTCATCGCTTTATTTTTCCTTGTGCAAAACCACAGCCCGGAGCCGGGCAGTTATCCCATGTTCCCAGGGCTTGGGAGCGCTGCAAGGCTGATCCCTGCTTGTGTCCAGGCTCCAGCCCTCCCTCGCTGCCCCTTTCCAGGTGTCCTGCCTGCCCCAGCAGTACCTGGCACACCCACACCCCTTGGGCTGGGGAGCATGTGGGGTGCCTTGTGGCCTGCATGTGCTGACTGGCTTCCTGAGTGGTGCAGACTGATCCCAAAGCAGTGCTGGCGAGTGGATGTGGCCATGTGCATGTGGGGTTTGGCAGGGCACCAGCAAAGCCCCTCTGAGCGGGCAGAGGTGATGGGCTGTGGTGTGATGCTGCAGCTTAGATGGCAGGGGCGTGCTGGGGGCCAAGTGCCCCTTGGCTCCTGGGGCTCCTCTGTCGGGGGGGGCAATGCTGCCAGAGCTGTGCTGAGGGCTGGGATGCCAGCACAGCCACGCTGCCTGAGCACCCTGCAGCTGGACCTTCCCTGTGTGGAAGGATCCTGCCCTCATGGGGCTGGCCACAGCAGTTCTGCAGTCCTGCTAGGGCCCTGTGCACTGTGGCGTGGCCGGATCCCAGCAGGGCACACTGTCAGTCCAGCTCCTGGTACTTTCCTTGTGACTCAGTTTCCCCATCTGTAAGGAGCAGCCCTGGCCTGCTCAACACTGGCTGGCTAACTTTGGAGCTTGATAATTTCTTTAAAAAAACCCCATGCCTGGGCAACATGCGAAGGGCGCTGAGTGCTCAGAGCGCCAGCAGAGCTGTTGCCTGCTCTTGCTGTGTTGAACTCACCTGGATCCAAGCCTGGTGTCCCAAACAGCATGGGACATGCTGTGCTGCAAGCATTGGTCCATCTAGACAGGGGTATTTGCTAAGCCTCTGGCATTTGTTGCCCCAAGGCAGCTCCAGGCTGTGGGTGCAGGTAGGAGGCCCTGGTGAGGGAGGGGGGGAGAAAGGGAAGGTTTGGAGTCGCCATGCCACCATGTGCAGCGGCAGATCTCGGCTCCAGCAGGATCAGGCCCTCTGTTGTTGGTGGAGCAGCGGCCTGGCTGGCATGCCATCGCAGTGCCCGGCCGAGGGCACATTTCCTCAGTCCCACCCAGAGAGACCTTGGGGCTGGTGAGGGGCCGTGCTGCCCCAACATGGCCCTGGGCATGCTGTTGGCAGGCTGTCTGGAAGCTGCCAGTGCTGATGATGCTCATTTTACTGTCTGGGAGTCCTGTTATCCCGGTGTAACTCCATTAACTTCCATTTAAACCAGCAGTTAACTTGGCCATGGCTGTTTGGTCCCATGCTCACAGCTGCTTCCCATGGTGACTAGGATGCGTCTCCCAATGCAGAGCCTCCAGCAGGAAATAGAAAGCTGACTCTGTCTGAAGGCTGTGGGCTTTGCTGGGGGACGGAGCCACCTGGGCTGGCCCTTGGCCATGCTGCAATCTGTGGGAGGGCGCAGGGCTCAGCACCCCCAGCCTCTGTGCTGCTGCTGTCTCCAAGATGTGAGGTACCCACTGAGCTGTGTGCTGGAGGGCAGTGACAGCCCTGCAGCTGTGGGGGTGTCCCAGTGGCTCCCAGTCCAAACTTGGCTGCTGGCAGGACCAGGGGTGGGGGCTGAGTGCTGCTCCTGGCCCCAAAACTGCTCCTGGGGACACCCAAACTGCAAGGGGCTGTGGGGCTACACTTCCCTCATGCCTTTGCTAGTGCGGTGCCAGCAGCAAGGCCCCCCCGCCTTGCTGTGACCAGCGTGTGGGACCCAGGGGCTTTAGCTTAGGAAGGATGTGTTGGGTTTTTACCATTTTTGTTTTTCCGGGATGCACCAGTTCCCAGAGCCATGTGGCTTAGAGCTGACCGCAGCATTTATCTCCAAACAGACACTGGGTGCCCAGACCTGACGTTTGGCAAGGGAGAGAAAGGAGAGCAGCAAGTGAAGAAATGGGGCCCACCATGCTGGCATGAAATGGCTCCCTGCTCTCTCCTTGGCTGTGTCCTTTCTAGGTTTGGGGTGGGGGCAGGAGCAAGACCTCAAGGGGGTTTGGTTTGTCCCATCTAAACAACAACCACTGCACCGAGACGGCATGGGTGCACCTCGCTTTCTCTCCTCCCTGCCACAGAAGACCCCGATGGGGCTGGGCGGGCGATGGGGCTGCGAGGTACCAACAGAGCCGGTCTATGAAACTTGGCCGGGAGGACAGAGGGAGATTGATGTTTGCTTGGGCACTCAGCCCTCAGCTGTGGGCTCTGCCTGCCCCTGCGCCAGCTGGGGACAAAAGTGCCGGCCCCGGATGGCACTGCAGGGCTGGTGTAAGCCCCCTGGGACAGCTGGCAGCTCTGTAAAGCTGGCACCTGCCCAGCAAACCAGCGCAAAGGGACCACGCAGGGAGGCTCGCCCGTCGGGATGCTCACCCATGTTCGGGTGTCTGAGCTCCACTGCGGAGCCGGCGCACCCCCCCGCCCCGCATCTGCCCCATCTTGGGTCCTGTCCCCTGGCCAACCCTGGATGGGGTGGAAAGGAGCTGGGGTGGCCACGGGGAGCACCCCACAGAGCTGGCAGGGGGAGGAGAGTGATGGGGTTTGGGGCTGGGAGCTTGCGGAGTCTCCTGCCCAGCCCTGCTGGCATCTCCCACATGGGAGAGAAAACCTGACAGTCACCAACAATTATGTCAGAAAAATCACCCACGTAGGTAATGATGTCTGGGTGTAATTGCAGGTCAGGGCTCCTGTCCCCACAGGGCTCTTGTGCCCTCGTCCCCATGTCCCTCCCACATATGGGGGGCCCCACCTGGAGCTGGCCGCAGGGTCCTTCCAGAGACAAACCCCCAGCACACCACTGAAAAATCCCAGAAAGGCTTTATTTGCGTAGGAAGATTGATGCTGTTTTAAAACCCACCGCTGCTAGAGGGTGGCTTGGCTGCCCAGCACCTGCAGGTGCTGCCTGGGCACTGGCACCTCCCTGTCCG